CAGCCTGTCCACGTACAGCCAATACATGGAGTTGTGGTTGGTGAGGTGGTTGTCACAGTAGTGGTGGATTCTGGGGTGGGTGTGGTGGTCACAGTCTTTGTGGATATTGTGGTCTCTGTGGTGGTGCTGATGGGAGTTTGGGGGGTTGGTGTTTCCGTGGTGGTGGTGGTAGGTATTGGGGTCATAGTCTCTGGGGTTGGCGTCCCCGTGGTGGTTGTGGTGGTAGGTGTTGAGGTCGGAGTTTCTGGTGTTGGCACCTCCGTGGTGGTGGTGGTGGTGGTAGTGGTTGGAGTTGTGGTCTTTGGTGTGGTGCTGATGGGGGGGGTTGGGGTTGGGGTTTCCATGGTGGTGGTTGTGGTGGTAGGTGTTGGGATCATGGTCCCTGAAGTTGGCTTCTCCATGGGGGTGGTGGTGGCAGGTGTTGAGGTCATGGTCCCTGGGGTTGGCGTCTCCATGGTGGTGGTGGCAGTAGTGGTAGTGGTGGGGGTTGTGGTCTCTGGTGTGGTGCTGATGGGGGTTTTGGATGTTGGTGTTTCCATGGTGGTGGTAGGTGTTGGGGTCATGGTCTCTGGGGTTGGCGTCTCTGTGATGGTGGTAGTGGTGGTGGTAGGTGTTGGGGTCATGGTCTCTGGGGTTGGCGTCTCCATGGTGGTGGTGGTGATGGTAGTGGTAGGAGTCGTGGTCTTTGGTGTGGTGCTGATGGGGGAACTTGGGGTTGGTGTCTCCATGGTGGTGGTAGTGGTGGGTCTTGGGGTCACAGTCTCTGGGGTTGGTGTCTCCATGGTGGTGGTGGTGGTGGGTCTTGGGGTCATGGTCTCTGGGGTTGGCGTCTCCATGGTGGTTGTGGTGGTAGGTCTTGGGGTCATGGTCTCTGCAGTTGGTGTCTCCGTGATGGTGGTAGTGGTAGTGGTAGGTCTTGGGGTCATGGTCTCTGGTGTTGGTGTCTCCATGGTGGTGGTGGTGATGGTAGTGGTAGGAGTCATGGTCTTTGGTGTGGTGCTGATGGGGGGGGTTGGGGTTGATGTCTCCGTGGTGGTGGTGGTGGTGGTAGGTCTTGGGGTCATGGTCTCTGCAGTTGGTGTCTCCGTGATGGTGGTAGTGGTAGTGGTAGGTCTTGGGGTCATGGTCTCTGGGGTTGGTGTCCTCATGGTGGTTGTGGTGGTAGGTGTTGGGGTCATGGTCCCTGGGGTTTGTGTCTCTGTGGTGGTAGGTATTGGGGTCGGGGTTTCTGGGGTTGGCACCTCTGTGGTGGTGGCGATGGTTGTAGTGGTAGGAGTTGTGGTCTTTGGTGTGGTGCTGATGGGGGGGGTTGGGGTTGATGTCTCCATGGTGGTGGTGGTGGTAGGTGTTGGGGTCGTGGTCTCTGGGATTGGCGTCTCCGTGGTGGTTGCAGTGGGGGTCGTGGTCTCTGGTGTGGTGCTGATGGTGGGAGTTG